TTTTTTTTCCTTTCTCATAACCTATTACTTGATTTCGTTCTTTGTGTTATATTATTAGTCTTTGATGTGTATTGAATTAAGCTTTCATGTTAGTTTGAGCAATGGGAAATGTTGGAAAATGCTAGGTTCAGCTTAGTATATAGGCTCTAGGTATAGCCGCTGGTTCTTCAAGCTAGTTATAGACAAAATGGACCAGTTGAATGGTGACTTGGGCTTTATTCTTCTTAAAGCTTAATATGAAGCTTTAAACAAGCCTCTAGGTTCAGGATGACTTAGTATGCAAAATGAGAGCCTGTTTACAAGAAGTCTTATACAGAGGGTCTGGGAAACAAAAGTTTAGGAGACTAATTACACAGCTTGCCATGCTGAGAGATGCTCCCAAAGACAGCCTATACGACCTGGACAAGGATGGTACATTTGTATTGCAAGTTGTAATCAGTATTCATCAATATGCTAAGTGTTCGCTTGTTCTAATCACATAACCCAAATCCCATTACCATTAGTAGTCATTTGATCATTACCAACCAGATCCAGCGCCAAAAAAAAAAAGAAAGAAAGAAAAAAGGCCAAGGGAAAGGAAAACGCTATATACAAGACTCAAACAACGCGCTTAGTACAAAGTCTTCAACGCCGACAAAGGTAAGTTAGGATCATATTTATCCCAAACGATCTTATTCTTCTCATCCAGATGCGCGCCCTCATCCGTAATCGGAATAATCGGATCCGTCCCCAACACCTCCTGCTGACTGAATCCCCACTTATCCCTCGGGATCCAGATTGTTGGCGTGGGTGACGTGATACACGGCTCGTAGTAGGCGTTGGCGCGTTCTTCTTCGGAGTATTTGATCTCGACGTCATCGCGGCGGACCTTCCGACGGAGAGCGGCGTAGTCGCGGTAGAGGTTCGGGTGAAACCATTTCCAGGCGGCTTCCCATCTGCTGCGCGGGCCGAGGAAGTGGGCTTCTTCTTTGCATTGCTGGGCTTCTTCTTCGGCGTCGAGGGTGCGGGGAAGGAAGTTGTTGAAGGGGGCGAGGGCTTCGTTGAGGGACATGTGGGCTAGAACAAAGAGGATGGCGAAGAGGACCATTATGATTAGGGGGCCAATTGCGCCTTTAATGGCGAAGAGGCCGATCATGCAGACGGCTGCGAGGTAGATGCCTGTTAGGAGGTGTTGGAGGGCTCGGGGGTAGACGAGGCCCTTGGTGTCGATGCGGGGGTCGTAGACGAAGAGGAAGTTGTAGCGGTAGGCTTGGTAGACGAGGTAGAGGCCGACGAAGGCGAAGCCGAGAATGAGAGGTGCGATGCAGGAGTAGGTCAGGGCTGGGGAGTTGTTAGTCTTGCCTTGTTTTACTGAGTGTAGGGAATGGATGCAGTGTGTGAACGTACCGATCACGCCCATGTTTGTGAACACAGGGAAGATGTTACCCCAGCTGATACCGCTGAGAGCGGACCATCTTTCATACAAACGTCGGGGAGAGCGATCGAAAAAGGTGGTGATGAATTTGAAGAATAAGGCTCCAGCAACCTGAACCAAAGCCATAGAGCTCATAGTCAATCCTTGGAGCAGAAAGTAAGAGATATAGAAATTGGTTGCCTTAGGGAGGTTCTCCGCAAGAAGATCCTTGGCGGACAAAGGGTCTTTGATGATTTGTGTAGTTGCAGCGGATGCTGCTGAAGTCAACGTCGTGACCAGGAAGACCTGGACCACCTGGAAGCAAAAATGGGCACTCTGCGTGAATAGTTCCACGCGAGAAGAAGATGGCACACCGGATCGTCGGGCACAGACTATATGAGGCAAAGGTTAGAGCTGTAGTACGCGAAGGGGGTATGCATAACCAGGACATACTTCGACAAATAATTGGCACCAAGGACATCAGCATAACTAGTGCCGCCGATGGCAACAGTCCTGCAATTACACCCTTTATTGTCTCTGGCAGTAAGTCGATCCAATGCAGAAATGGAATCATGTCGGAAAGGTATGTGATGTTTGAAATAGTACCCACAAGGGCAGACGGGATCGACCAGAAAATGACAAGCGCAGCAATACCACCCTTAACCGCGAACTTTCGCACAATGCGTTGCCACCAGCTGAGATTCAATGCAGACCAGACAACTTCTCTTGGGGAAATACCAATGAAGCGAGGGGTCATATGGAGTGGTTGGTGATGAGACAAAGTCTGCAATGCAATCTGGGCGGCGGACTGGGTGTCAAATTCGATGAAGACTGCAGAAAGAGTCTTCATCTCCCCATCTTTATACTTTTGTTGTAGATGATTAACCTCCTGCGAAACCTCCACAAGCTGCTCCCGCAACCACTTGATCGTATCAACCTTTTTCCCAAACCACTTGAGGCGATGAGTTGGTCGCCGGATGCCATGAAACATCGGCGAAGTGCCTGATTCACTTTCAAGAGATGTATCAGATGGGATGCGGCCCTGTCTCAATGACTTCAGGCGCACCGAATTCGCTGATCGGATTATTCTTGTCTCTGCGCTCTCCAAGCGGAAGGCCAACTTGTCCCTTTTGCGTACCAACTTGTCCAACTCTTTACAGTCGGTAGTGATCCATATCCGGTGAATGGAGTCACCAAACACTTGGCGCAGCTTCTTCTCGTTCTTATATTCATCAGGGACTGACATGAATAAAACTGTCCTGGAGGAGATCCGGTTTACATAGGCGGAGGAGTTGAGATACGCTTGACGAAGATTGGCATAAAATATACTCTCACGCGTTACCACGTAGAAGACGAACGCTGTTAAGAGGGGTTAGCTACTCTCACTTTCATAAGATCAGCGTTTACTTACTGAAAAAGACGATCGCCATCACGACATGAGCATAATAGCGCTTTGGGTTTTTCACGTTGCTAAAACTCAATGCATCTAGCTGAGTGTTCCCTGCACCGCCAGTTGCATGGATAGGAAGCAAGACGGGCCATGTAATCAAGCATCCCGTGAAACATGTAGCACACAGTACTCGAAGGAATCGAAGGAAAAGATAACCATCCATAGACGAGGAATGAAGGACGTGTGCATCAGATATTTTGAAAAAGTGCCCGAACCAATTAATGAAACCTGAGGGCAACTGTGGACTCCGTTCACTGCAGAATCGGTTAGTATCGATGCGCAGACAGCGGGTGGTCCATATTGACTTACTGCTTATGCCAATTGGGCAAGTGTGTCCTAGGCGCGTACCACCGAATTTGAGTTCGCCGACAGATCAAGAACAGACCGAACCAAAAGACTGCGATTATCAAAGCAGGAACTAATGTAGTGACAAGTGCGGAAAGAGATGTTGAATCTTTGACACCAAGATTTTCCATAGCCTCGGAAGTCGTTGAGGAGGCATTACCCCTGGAAGACCCTATGTTTGGGTCATTATCAGGGTTCTGTCAGTAGCAGGATTAGCCTCATTCGTATCTCAGTTTTGCTCTCTGTGCTCGTCACGTACAAGGAGGTCTGACCGCTTGACAAGCAGATCGAATAGTGTCGCTTCAACCATGATCGCTATCAGAAAGCTAGCTCATGGCCAGCTGGATCAATTCTTGGTCGATACTTGGAGTTTGGATTCTACGACAACATTGCACAACCGTCGGTTCAGGAACAACATGGAGCTAATCGCGTCAACATATATGCTCTGACGGACCGACCCACGCTCATGACTAAAATATGCAACCCAGCTTGTCGAACCTGTCAGTCAAAATGGGGGGAAGGCACCCGAGGCTAAAGTATGTCGACTTGCAGGTTGACAGGAGTGCTATTGGCGGACCGGCCGAAACTAAACATCAATGGGAATGTGTGTGAAAGGATAAAAATGTTGATTCTCTCCAGGTACGACCTTTCTGATTGGTGGGTCACAAACAACAAGAGGGCATCAAACCCACAGTGACATGTTCGTGTGGGCTGCAGCTCGCTCCGCGTGGTAAAAGAGCCGGCCTGGAGCCCTGGACTAACTGGAAAGGTTCAAAAATTTCGGTGGAACAGGCATTAGGGATCGGCTACTGGGAACACGGACCCAGAGAGACCGTCGTGATTTAGTAGTCGATAGTTTCCCATAAGCTTGAGGGTGGTTTGTCCAATCACCATAGGGCATTAGTATAGTGATCGCCGATCCTTAAAACTCTGCTAAAAGTACCGCGAAGGAAGGAATGTCTGCCACTGGGTTTCGAGTGAGCTTCTGAAATTCCCTGCCACACCACCTCGCATTGTTTGGACGTCTTATCGACATTAGCCTACTTTTCCACCTTGCGTCGTCATGAATTTTTTTCTTTCTTGCCAGCCACAAGAGTTCTCCACGTCGTGAATTGTGGGTTGGATGCGCTAATCAGATGCAAATCGCCACAGGGGTCAAGAAGGAACGCGAGTCCTCTTAGCGTAATCTCTATCCATCGCGATTATTTCTTGAGATTAGCCGTGCCTGGCGCATATCATTGGCCATGACATGTACCAAGTGGGCTCTAGCACTAAAAAGGCATGTAGACGAAAGAAGATCCGTTCCATGGGTCGAGCGACAACGGATCCGATCCAATCAGTTTAGCAGCACTGGTGTCAACAAGTCTGGACGTGAGCCCTCGGTGGAGACGTAACGCAAGGGATATGTACTTTTTTTGGCATCTGAACAAGGAGCAAAATACAACTCCTCTAACTCGTGGTGGCTCGCTTAGATGGTAACGGCAGACAATGGAGTTGTGGTCTTGCATGAAAGGTAAAACAAGAAAACAAGAAACCATGGTTGGGCTCAGAACTTCACATGGCTGGAACCATATTCCGGCTGACTGTTAAATTAACATCTGAGACATGCTGGCTCTAATATTGAGGTTCCGAATCAACTGCGAAAAGAGGGGAATGAGAGAAAAAAAAAAGCAAAGTGAGGGCCGAAGCCCACCTTGAGTGATTTCCTTTTTGCGCCTAGACTCTCTGGCATCGTGACATGCAGATTTATTACTACATACTGTCCCCACTCAATATAATAGTTCATCAGGTTGGTAGGCAACCATCCAGGAAGAGAACACCGTGTGTGCAGGGTATGACATTCCTAATGTTCGGCTAGAATGAAGCACTCAGCTCGAACGCTTGTAAATGCGAGGCTCACCAGGAGCAGTCGAAGCAGGGAACATTCTTAGGCATCATTCCACCCGTGCCCATCCCACTTGAAATATGATTTGTCAAATAGCCTCAACTCGGGTTGTCTTTCATTTTGCGGTAAGGCCCAAGAGAGACAGACGTACGGAGTTGAGAAGCAAGACAAGTCCGCGTTCCGGACTCGTCCGTCTAGATCAGACATATCAGCCCGTTAAAGTTTATATAGTTTCTTGATGCAGCCGATAACAGGTATTCATCACCTTCATAGAGCCTGATCCTTACATGGCATAGTAACCAAATAGCTCAAGAATTGCGGTGTCTGCAAACTATCAGAGTTCATGCATCCCCTGAAACGAACGTTGGACATTGTTTCACGTCAACTGACTTCGAGGCGACCTGAGTCCCTAGCATACACGACGGCATGTTCCCTTCGCTTGCAATGTAGATGCGATAGGCTCCCGTATTACATTCTTCTCGGGTGCATGTTCATCTGACAACTTGACAATGGACCTTGGCTCCTTGAGAGCCTTGCCATAACAAATTTGTACATTACATGTTGAAGAGCGCTGTCAACACAAGCCCGTTCTGACGTAGATATTCGTATGCAGATATACCCGTACTCCTTCGTTTCTTTTGGCTCGTGTATAGTGTAGTATTTTCCAGCCTCCCTGCGATGCTAGGCAAGGTATAATCTAGATCCAAATCCTGAGTACGCCGAGGAGTATTAGGCGGTGAAACACGGCAGTATACAATGACCGACAGCAACTTGATGTTGACCATGGCTCAACTTAACAAAAATCATCCGGAGAGATGTCCTTTACTAACAAAGAGCAACGGATGAGTACGGATAGTATAAACGATGACTCTGGCTCCCACACCATACTGCCCCCATTTGAATCAAAGCAACCGTTTCCCCCTCTCTCAGCAGATGATCTAGCAACCACCTCTCAAGATGCGCCAGATACCAGCTTTACGGAAGACGATCCAGACATAACATCACCAGACATTGAGGAGGACGATTACGATGCGAACTTTCAATCACAGTATTCTCTAGACGATCAATTGTTGTCTGATGCGTCTACAGACGAATCGGACGGACAATCGCCGGAAGACGATGGCATCGAGATACACCCATTTCGTCATTCTTCAAGTTCACTTCACGGTCCCAATGCATTCGCTCCCCCTTTCTACAATAGGCCACCGACGCCTCTGCCGCCCTCTCCTTCTCTGACCTCTCTTCTGCGACCTCCTTTCTCCACAACCACTTCCCGGCCAACTACCCCTGACAGTTCTGATGTCGAAACACCGAACGATACAGAAGCAGCGGTTGCGAAGTCCGCGCGTCGCGCGACGACTGTTCCTCGAGCAAGTCCGAAGGTCCCCACATATGAGTATTACGGTTTCGTTCTATATCTTGCCTCTTCATTGGCATTTTGTAAGTGCAAAACAGTGGCTGCTGTACATGGGATTTATATAGAAAGTGCTGACAACTCCTCGCAAGTGTTATACATTCTCTGGTCCTATCTCCCAAAACCATTTTTACACCAACTTGGAATAACCTACTATCCGACTCGATGGTGGTCACTAGCGATTCCCGCGTGGCTCGTCATGACCATTGTCTACATCTACATTGCGCTCGCCTCGTATAATACCGGATACATGACGCTACCGATGAACAGCGTTGAGAACATCGTGGATGAAGTGGCGAATGTTGCTGTGATAGATGGTAAGGGTAGAAGACGACCTGGCGGCGCAGCCAAGATGAAGCCGGGTGCAACTTCATACCAAATCATGGGCCCGCAGAATAGAAAAGTTAACTGGAGGGAAATCTGGAGTGAGGGCACTGATGCCGTCTTGGATGTCCCTGTGGGAGGGGTATGCGAAGTGCTATACGGCCAAGGACGAGATGATGATGAGGTATGCGAGGAATATGACTTCATTGGTTGAAGATAGTGTTGAGTAGTATATATAGCGATTTAGCATAGCACATTAATGTTGATACCCCTTATTTGTTTGTGCCCCTGTGATTGGAGGTTCTTATTGCGTCAACTTGATTATAACAGATGTAGAAGAGCCTTTACTCACTAGACAGTACAATGTGTACAAATTAAACGAAACATTATGTCTCTATACTCAGATGGCTGGTTATATAAATTATGCTTTTGCAATTGCGATGTTGATCGCTTCCACCCTGTTTGGACTTTCCAAAATATATATCGGCAATCTTGCCCTCGACAGACATTGGTCATCAGATGGCAACCTCGTTGCGAAATGATGATACTCATACAGATTGCATAATTGATTGCACACTTTCTCTCACTTACCACATGCTGTTATACAATTAATGCGCCTTCTATCATGGATAATCCATCATTCTTCTTTTCATCCGGACGGCATACTATATCCCACCAATCAATACTTCCTTCAGGTTTCGTTATCATCACGTGAAGTGGCGATACGAGCTATCGATAACGCGCCCTTGAAAGACTCACCTTTACAGTCACCATTCTTACATTCCCGAGGCGCGGCAAGAGCTCTAGAAAAGTTCGTCGTCCAAGATGGCAGACCGTTTGACTCCGCCGCCGCAAACAGGAGGCTCAAAGCCCGGTGAGCTCCCGCGCGCACCGCTGACGCCGGAGCAGTTGCGGAAAATTGTATATGCCCCCGACGCGATCTACTGATACCTGGCTGACATCGGCCGATGTATAGGAAATAAACCGCATGAAAGCAAAAGCCATACGGGAGCAACGGGAGGCGGAGGCTCGGACATCGGCTGAGGTTGGTGGTGCCGCGCAATCTACGAAAGGAGGGGTTAAGCGGTCCTATTCCTCCATGACGGCTGAGACGCCTGCTACGGTTCGAGATGCGACTTCGGCGGCCCGTCCGCTTGATTCAATCAAGCCTGCGCGGAACTTTACGAAATACGTTGAGTATGACTTTAGTAAGATGACGGATACGAAGGGAGGGTTTTTGACGGAGGAGGATGATCCCTTTAATAAGGCGCTGCATGTGAAAGATGGAAAGGAGGAACAAAAACCGGCCAATATGACGCAGAAGGAATGGGAGAGACAGCAGTTACTCGACTCTCTTCGTCGAAACCGGACTGGTCCTTTTGAACCAGCCCTCAGCGTGTTGGATGACAAAAACAAGCAGAAGAAATGTCGTGAGTGTGGAAGTCTGGAGATTGATTGGAAGTGGGAGCAGGATCTTCGGTGTTGCGTATGCCACGCCTGTAAGGAGAAGTTCCCGGAAAAGTACAGTCTTCTCACGAAGACAGAAGCAAAGGAGGATTATCTTTTGACAGATCGTGAGTTTATCGGTGGCTATATGCGTGGATGCGCACTGAATACTGACTTAATATTAAGCCGAACTCAAAGACGAAGAGCTTCTGCCCCATCTTGAAAAACCCAACCCTCATAA